TGAGTATGATGTTCAAAAAGGGAGGGGGGATCTTGCTGGGAGGTGGTGGCACATGCCTTTAATCCCATTACTCAGTAGGCAGAGGCAGGTGGATCTCTGAGCCTGAGGCCAGCCTGGTCTATATAGTGAGTTCCAGGACAGCAAGGGATACACAGAAAAACCCTGTCTGAACGGCTCCTCCCCTCCCCCATATCAATGCAGACCGTAGAAATAGGGTGTAGGGTATAGTCAGGAAGCAGGATCTTATATGGAGGACCGTAATAAGCCATTTGTTTTTAAACACAGCACACCCACAGAGGGACATTCATTTCATTATAAGGATACCCACGTGTGATATCTGTATCTCTCACAGCCCAGGAAGGAAAAAGATGAGCATAAAATTACATACCTGAAGAATTAATAATAATAATAATAATAATAATAATAATAAAGACTAATTACAAAGGTGTGAGCAGGACTAGGCAGGGTGCTTAATGATAGGAGGAAGGTGGCCTAGAGCTACCACAGTCATGGGACTACCTGTGCCCATGACTGGCAGGGGCAGGATTCAATGGAAAGCCACCTAGAGACCTGATTCCTTATGAGGTTAAGAAATTGGGAATGCAGGTGCCCTTCAGAGAACTTCCTCCCCACCAGTGAGGGAACATGGGAGACAGTGCTCTTGCTTCTCTTTCTACCACCTCTGAATCGCCTGAACCCAAACCCAGTCAGAAGGCAGAGGGCCGGCTTGCACTTCGATGTACACACGCCCTACAGGTGAGCTCCCTGGGATCCAGAACTGAGTAAAGAAAAACAGAGGGGTCTGGAGGATTAACAAGAACATCCAATGCAGTGCTCCATGACATGGATCAGACAGGCAGGGAGGGGTGTGACTCGGGAGAAGAAAGGGCGTGGGTTCCTGAGGTGTGCAGGAACATACTGAAGCAAGGTCTTTGCACTAACGTCTAATAATTGTGACTTGAAGGGAGGAGTGTGAGGAACTCAACTCGGGAGAGCATCCACCACACTAAGCAAACTTCTGAAAAATTCTCTTTCACCCCACTATGGTGCTTGTTCCAGACTCCAGGTCTTCCAGATGAACTCAGCCAGAGAGAACGCCGACTCTTGGTTGGAGACTCGGCCACCCACTGGCCCGGGATGAGAAACACGAAGTGGAAGTGTGGAGTAAGGGAAGACACCAGGACGGGTCTCAAACCTGTTCCTGAAAATCCGTCCTTGTCAAGGAAGAGCAAAAGGAAAAACATGTACACAAGCAAGGTGGATCTTTGTTTTTTTGAGAAAGAAAGTGAAGGGGACTCCAGCACAATGGGAGATCCCTTCCAGACCCCAGATTAGGCACAAACCACATCCAAGCACCTGTTTTCACAGAGATCCTTTATTAAGTGGGGAAGCAAAGTTAAAGTGGCTGCTTCCTGACTCGGGCAGAAAACAGCAGCAGATGACCTTGCAGGTGTCATTCTTAAGAAGAGGAAAGGGGGAGGTCTGTGTTGGGATGGGCTAGGATGCAGTGGTAGAGGAGACAGAGGATGAAGGAGAAGGGGAAGAGGACAAGGGAAAGGGGGCAGGGGTATTTGTCCTGGAGGGACAAAGGACTGTCTCTGGATAGAGAGGAGACAGATGTGGCACATAGGGAAATGGTGGTTTATAAAGGTAAAGGGGGAAATCCTGTGTTAGGATGAGGTGTTTAATTTTAATATGGCATGTTAATTAGGGCAGCCAAAGGGACTTGTGATTGCTGGACTTCAATACTTCCATAGCTGGACCTTGGCAGTCAGCCTCAGGAGGAAGAAGTGGCCAAATAAGGGGATGGACCTGAGTGGCTAGCTTTAGGAATGTAATCTAACAGTTTTTAGCAAGGTAGAAGGAGCTGGGGAGAAGGGCAAGGCCTGCCGGAGCCACAGGCTCAAGCTAGTGTCCCTTCAGAAAGTGTATACACACTCAAAGAGCACACCAGAACACTAATGGCGGCTGTCTGGTTGTGGAAGGAAGATTGCTTTTATTTATTTCATTTGTTTTCTTGTGTTTCCTAATTTTTATAAAACGAGTCCAAGTTATTTATGCAATGATAATTGGAATTTTAGCAAAAAGGTTATTAATGCTTTCAAAAAAATTACTAGCAGAGAGAAATGGATACAGACAGTATTCAGTCATCCCCCTGCATTCTTCCCTGTTTCCTGTCTTCCCTGTGGTCTGCCCCCAGGTTCTGCTCACAACTTCTCTGTTCAGGGAACGCTGACTAAGACATTTGGCCCAGAAAGTCAGAAAGATGGCCCAAAATAAGCAGGCTGCCAAACAATTAAGTTAGAACCACACTTGGGAACATTCTCTACCTTCTACCGCGTGAGGATCCCAACATAATCCCTCTTGGAATCACAGCCTGGGTAGCTGAAAGCAAAACGTGATTATCTCATAGTTGAGGAGCAGAGGAGTCAGAATCAAGGTGTCAGCAGGATTAATTCCTTCTGGCCCTATAGCCGGAAGTTTCTCTGGTCCCACCCGGCCCACAGTCCCTCAGCCACTTATAAAATAATCATTCAGAGGCTTAATATTAATTACCAATTGTATGGCCTATGGCAGGCTTCTTGCTAGCTAGCTCTTATAACTTAAATTAACGCATTTCTATTCATCTATGTTTTGCCACGTGTTCTGTGACTTTACTGGTCTGTTGGCATGTTGCTCCTTGGGCAGCAGGTTGGCATCTTTCTAGACTCTGCTTTTCTCTTTCCTGTCTCTCTCCTTGGATTTCCTGCCTGCCTCTAAGCTGCCTTGCCATGGGCTAAAGCAGCTTATTTATTAACCAATGGGAACAACATATATTAACAGCGTAGAGAAAGACATCCCACAGCATGGCCCAAAGGGGGAATCCTTTCCATGTCACTCTAGGTGACCCATGGCATCCTTGGCTTGCAATTGTGTCACTGTTCTCTCTTCTGTGTGTCAAATGGCCTTCTTTCCCAAAGATCAGTGTCAACAAGTCCCCTTTCTCTCATAAAGACACTAGCTATTGGATTTAGGCTCCATACAAATTCACTATGACTTTATTTAATTTGACTATATCCACAATGACCATATTTCCAAATAAGGTCATAGTGAGGAGTATGGGGGTTGGGAGTCCACAAAATAGTGGACACTTCATTGTTGGAGAGGCAGGTGTATAAACCACACAGCATGATACACCCTATAATATATACACCTCCACCAGCCTCACCAGCCTCTTGCTCCAAGTTGCTTTTCAACACTCACAGCAGGTGTCCATTTAGAAAAGGGCATGGCTCTAATTCTTGGTCTAGGTGATGAACTGTGGCTGGACCACTGTTCATGGAGCTGAGCACTTACAAATTGGGGCTGTAATAATGGTGTTCCTGTCATGTTATACTTCTAGGGCTCTAATAATGACGTTCCTATTATTTATTAAGTGGTGCTGTTTACTGTGCGAGAAAAGCCACGAGGTACAACAAAGCCACTGTAAGAGTTTATTAAGGGAAGGGAACAGAAGGGATGTGCATGGTGTTGGTTTTAATGCGGCGCTTTTACTCTGTGAGGAAAGGTCATGAGGCACGACAAAAACTCACTATCGAGAGTTTTATTAGAAAGGAGAGGGGAGGGACAGAAGATAGCGTGACCAGGCCTGTGGAAGACATGTGCAGAAAGAGAGTGGGGAGGAGGAGGAGAAGAAGAGGAAGGGGAGGGGTCTGTGTCCTGCTTCTTATGGATTCCCCTGCACATGCGCATATGGGCTTAAACGGAGCTACCCCACGCGTGCGCAGATTACGTGCTCACACAGCACACAGATTACGTAGGATGTAAGGCCCCTTACTTGGCTACTGAACTGCGCATGTGTGGTCATGTAAGTGGAGGAGTGGCCAGGAATCCCAACACATAGGCCTATGGAATGACCATGCAGGAAGATGTGGGGAGGAATAGGTGGAACCTGCTTTTATAGGTTCCCTCCTGCACATGCGCATATGGGTTTCCGTAGCTACGCCATGCATGTGCATAGATTATGTAATCACGCTGTGATCACACTGGATGCAAATTACGGGATCACGCAGCACACGGATTACATAGAAGTAAGGCCCTGGGATGACTAAGCATCTTGCCAGCACATAGGCGCTCGTACGTGCGGTCATGTAGCTGGGGGAGTGGCTAGGAATTCTAACATTTCTTTTCATGTAATATTTCAGAAGTCTTAAGCTATTCATGATTCATAACCATCAGGAAAATTCCCAAGTAGGAATCTTCTATGTTACTAAAGATCAATGTTGTGGGTTGACTTACGGACCCCAAAAAGAGATCATTGAGCATAATAGATGCTCAGTAAACAGTAAATTGCTGAAATAAAGCTTCCTAAACAAAAGCATAAGATCCCACTGCCAGAGCGGCAGGTGCTGCATATACCACCCTCCAGACATCACTTAAGCTCCTATTTTTCTTACTTGTGAATGGGATAATTGCAAAGTGGGCAGATCAAGACCAACCTCAGGCCGTCATTGTGAAGAGGGAATGAAATACCAAATGTGAAAATAAGTCTATCACCATCCACACAGGAGTTAGGGCTCTTGTGAGCAGATGACAGAGACTTCCACCAGACCCCTAGCTCTCTGAGACACCTGGCACATTGTCCCTTGAAATTTCACTTGCAAAATCGATTCAAATTGGCTTCAGTACAGACAGTTCCTCATGAGCTGACAGTCAGCCAAAAGGCACCGAACAAAGAGAGCCGCAGTAATGTTAGCATCTCAAACAACAAAGGCCATGTTTACGGGAGATGCTGGTTTCGGCATCAGCCTTGGAGGAGGTCTCTTGGGCACCAGTTTTAAGGCCGGGGAAGAATTCTAGTAATGTTTTCCAGGGAAACAAAACTGAAGGGGTTTACCAGACCCATTCATTTGCAAATCGGAGGTTTAAGGGGCTGAGGACTTCAGTTGCACGCGTTGGGACAGGGAGTGTGTTAGAAGACTGGCTTGTGGTGGGCCAGGGTGCCAGGCGGTACACGAGGACCTCAGATCGCCACTCTTAATCTTCAAAACAGGTGATCACATGGTATTTTCTTCATGGAAAAGTGGTGAGGACTTCAGAGCAGGACCTGCCCAGTGGCTGGCTGCTCCTGACAGCAAAGCAGAAATTCAAACTCCAGGCAGTGTGACTCCTAACTCCCAGGCAGAGGCAGGGTTGGGTGTGAAGGTTTGCTTGGGGCTCCGGCTTTGTCCTTTGTTCTCGGGGCTTGGGCCCCCTCCTCCCAGCTCCCTGTGCACACGTGTGTGCGCGGATGCCTCCCTGCCCTGGTCTGGGGCAATGGTGTCTGTTCATCCTTCTCCAGTTCTGGGTGAGGACAGTCAGCTATTTGTCTGAGAGCCAAGGGCAGCCAGCAAGGGTTCAGACGCCTTTTGCTTCCTGAGAAGGGAGGTGGCCTTGCCCTGTGGGAAGCATCAGTTGGAGGGAGATGAATTTAGCTGCCCTCCCTGGTTGGTGATGGGGGAGGGTCCTGTCAGCCAGAGGATGTAGGCTTAGCTCCAAAAGGGCTTTTGTCTGAGACTGGGCCTCAGGCCAGAGTGACATTCTTCGGTGCATGCTGCCAGGCCACCACTGAGTGGGCACCTGCAGGGCAGCTACGGAAGGAGTGAGGGGCCTGTCTTTCTTCCACAGAGGAGAGCATGCGGGGATGGAATCTGCCATTTTGGGGCCCCTGGTGTGCGGAGGCCATGACTGTGGTTGCTCCTGGCTCCAAAAAACATGCCAAGGCCCAGGCTACCCAGGGATGTGGGCAATTAACATTTTAGCTTCTGTCATGTCTGATAAAGATCCCCACAAGATGAAAGGAATCCACTCTGCCTTAAATGAGTGCGACAGAAGAAACCTAGGGTCATAGAAAGACCTGGGAGCCTCGGCCACAGCTCCCCTCGCAGCAGGGATGCTGCCCTTCATTGAGGATGTGTTTTGCCCCACCCGGAATCCTCTGCACAGGTGGGTGTACCATATCCTATGCTGTGGGTAGTGACTGCTGATTCCCACAGCTATCTATTCTGTGGAACCATCTCTCTAGGGAGGTTGCATGAATTCCTTTCGTCCTGAGGTGTCTCCATGGCAGCCAGTGCCTGACAGAAGACCCGAAGGAGGTAGCAGGCCTAGGGGATAGTTCATGGTCCAACGGCCCTGTAGGACCAGGCTGAGGTAAGTCTTTGACTGACATAACTCTGTCTGTAGCTCATCCCTTGCTAGTACTGTGCTCTCTCACTCTCTCTGTCTCTCTTTCTCTCTCTCTCTCTCTCTGTGTTAATGTCAGGGTTTTTTTTTTTTTTTTTTTTCCTATCACTATTCACTTTATTTTTTGAGACAGGTTCTCCCTTGGAACCTGGAATTTGCTATTTTTCCTGGACTGGCTAGCCAGCAGGCCCTCGGGGGCTGTGTCTCTGCCCTGCCTAGTGCTAAGGATCACAGACTGGGCATGCCCAGCCTTTATCTGAATTTAGTTCAGGTTCGCAGAGCAAACACTTCCCACATCTCATCCCGGCACCTGGGATGGCCTCTTCTGCTCCCTTCATCCTGAAAGGCCTTTGTCAGCAAATCCCTTACAGGAGAATCCCAGTACTTGAGGCTGGAGAAGTGGCTCAGAGATTAAGAATGCTCCCTTGTGCCAGGCGGTGATGGTGCATGCCTTTAATCCCACCACTCGGGAGGCAGAGGCAGGTGGATCTCTGTGAGTTCGAGGCCAGCCTGGTCTACAAAGCGAGATCCAGGACAGACTCCAAAGGTACACAGAGAAACCCTGTCTCGAAAAACAAAACAAAAACAAAAAACAAACAAACAAGGAATGCTTCCTTGCTCTTCCAGAAGACCTGAGTTCACATCCCAGTGGTCACATCTGGTGGCTCACAAATGCTTGTAATTACACCTCCCAGCGATCCGGCACCCAGGTCAGTTACCACAGACATCTGCCCCTCTGTACATAAATAAAAATAAATAAATATTTTAAAAATTTCAGTTCTTGGTCTACTATCTCATGAATACTACTTCTCTTGTGAATCTATTCTAGTGAACAACTATTGAGGATTCTCTATGCTCCAGATGTGTTTGCTGTGCCTGAAGACAGCAGTATGGCAAGTCAGTGCAGCCTTTCCATCACTGAACCTACAGTCTGACTCGGCGGCGGCGCTCAGACTTGATGTTCCCAGATGACAGTGCCATCTTCAAATGTGCTGGACCACATTCTTACATCTGGGATGCCTGGAGCCTGCAGCTTGCACGTGCCTGGTGGTGGAAAGAGATGACTATTAAATCATCACAAAAAATTCAGTTATGGCTGTGATTAACACTCTGCATCAGCAGTATGGGCTACAGAGAAGGATAGCACAGTGTCTGTTCTACCCTTGGCTCTGGAACACCGGGGGTAGGACTCTGAAGATACCGTTTCTAGACAACAGCTGTCTTGTTAGGTTCTTCTGCCAACAGGAGACATGAGGAAGGCAGATGGAGAGAGGAGTCACTTTCTGTCTTAACCTCCCTGCACCCAGGTGTGTCCCTTCTTAGATGTCTGAGCACCCACTCTGCCTAGAGCAGCGTAGGGCTCCCATCCCACCCCCCAGCCCTGCAGTGATTCTTCAGATGTACCAGCAGGAGCTAGGAGCTCCCCTGTTCTGGAAACAGCCCCATGCCCCTTTGTTTCCTCGTTCTAGGATTGGCAGCTCTATCCTGCCGATCCCTGAGTTACCTCTGTCTCTTTGTGTGCAGCCCAACAAGATCCCCCAGAGTAGAATGTGTCTTGTGTTTTTATAGTGCCCACCCGGATCTAAACCAGATGTGGAACATCAGCCTGGGCCAGGTTAACAAAGGTGACGCTAAAGAAATACCTTTAGGTTTCTGGCTTAAAGGGCCAGTAAGACTCATTGGGTGGGGGTGTCTGGAAGAAATAAAGTAGAGAGGGAATGCAGACTCTGGAGGAGAAATAGGCAGAGAAGGCCTAGGTCATCTAGAAATATGGAGGAAAGTAATGGTCACATCCTGCAGGACTTTGAAAAGACAGGGAGCCATTGAGGAATGCTGGAGAATGCTCCGATGACTATGAGGATGCCAAGTGGGCATTCTCCACCTCCCGTGCTTCCTTCTGGTGCTGAAGGAACTCTCACCTTCCTCCACTGTTGGAATTCGTTCTATCAGAAACACAAAAGCAGTGTAGCAAAAGTCATAGATCATTTACATGGAGGATCTGACAAGGGGACCGAGAATATAGTTCCGTGGTAGAACACTTACCTACAGTGTGCAAGGTCACAGGTTCAATCCTCAGCACTGGAAAGAAGAAACAGAAAAGGTGATCCTTTGGGGTACATATAACCCCACTGCATGGTTCAGTTAAAGGAAGGATCTTTGTATGAAGAATGCATCATGCTTCTTCCTGCAAAGACACTTAAGGAAGCTTTGTGTTTTGAACAAATGTGTGATGGTGAGTGGCAGCCTTGAGCAGGGCCCAGTCTGTCTTCGGAGTCAACTGAAATTCCAATGCCGTCTCTGCTTCCTATCTTGAGAACACAACCTAGCCTCTCTGAACCCTTGCTGCCTTGTCTGAAAATTGTGTCTTCTGGGTTCTTTAAAATTAGATCATATTGGTACAACACCCAGCTCGGTGCCTGGTACCCAGTAGTCCCTTAAAATGTACTATTAGTTTAATAGTTCCTTTGACTTCAAAGTATATTCTCGTAACTTCTACTTCAATAGAGATCCTGCAAACTTAGCCTAATCTCTCTTCCACATGAGGACATTCCTGCCATGCCACATTCACTGTCTTGGATTTTCTTTGGGGTGGCATTCTTAGATGTTCTTGTTGGCCACCTGGGTCAAGTCCTGAGTTCTCATCGTTACCCAGATCCCCAAGGTCCCAGCCTCAAAGCCTTCTCCTGGATCCTCTAATGATCAAACCTGCCAGCTGGGTTTGTCCAGGATTGCCATACTGATGCCACAAGGCTTCAGATGTAGACGTTTACTGATTGTTTTGTCTCTCTGATGGCTGTTTTGACACGACAATTGTTCAGATGAAAGTTCTGAGTATTTTTTCAGGCTTGCAAGAGCATGTGTTAGAAGTTAACTCCAACAGGAACATGAGAAACGAATTTCCCTGTTGTCCTGTGATTATGCATCGAGTCGGCTTCCTTTTTCACTTTCTCCAGATCCACACAACACATCTAGGAAAAAAATAAATGGTGACCTGTACAACTTAGTAGTCCCCAGCCTGGCTGTCAATCATTTATTAGACCTAGATATTCTGTGATGTGCAGTCCACAACTCCCTAATCTTTCCCCACTCAGGCCATGCTTACGTTTACTCCTTCACCTCTTCATTCAGCATTCCACACTCAGGATTAGTCAGAGTTCTCTAGAGGAACAGAATGGATAGAATAAAGATATATTAGAGAGGGTGTATTAGGTTGGATTACACAATACGAGCTGGATAGTCTAACAGTCTTCATACTAGTGAGGCTGAGAACCTGGATGGCTGCTCCGTTCATGAGTCTGGACATCTTGGCAGTACTGAAAGCCTAGAGGATTCCTGGAGAGTCACTGATCTTCAGGCTTCGTTAGAGGCCGTTAGAGCTGGGTTCTGATGTCAGCGAAGGAACAGAGTAGCCGCAGCAATGATGCAGACCAACTCACATATAAGATGAACTTGCCAGCAAGATGCAAAGTCGGGCAGACAGAAAGATGGAAGCTTTTCTCTCTGACCGCCTAGTGTCTGGCTGCCAAGGCAAGGTGCTGCCCACAGCTAGGGCAGGTCTCTCCACTTCAGGGAATGTGAGCAAGAAACTCATCACCCGTGTGCCCGGCAGCTTGCCTCTTCCCTGACTCCAGATCTAATCAAGTTCACAACCAAAATGAACCATCACAAGCACTTACCGTTTTGTGCCAGTTCCATGCTGGGCACATACTTCTATGATCTCATCTTCTCTGAAGATAACGAGGCAGGTGCTTAACTGTCTTCGTTGTCATACTTTACCGAGTTCGATAACTTAAACTTCTTATCTGCTTTTCCATGAATGTAGTTGAGAATGAAAACCGTGGTTCTGACTTCCCAAGATCCCCCACGGCTTTCATGAAAGACTGCCTGTTATGTCGTCATTCCCCACTGTCCCTTCTTTCCCACCAGGAATGCTTGTATATGTTTGAGGATGGAGTGGATGAGGTGTGAGGCTAGCAGCCTGTCCTGCAGACAGAGGCAAGGAGTTGAGTCTCAGCCCAAAGTCGGGCTCACTGCATAAAACCTAAAGCTCGCCCTTTCTCTTCACTGCGCCATGCCCTGCCGTGTGTCCTGAGGATGTACTCACCTGATCACATGAGCTTTCTGAAGCAACCACTGTGTTGAAGGCATCGTATGAGGACAGCAACAGTGTATTGTCTTTGTCTCCAAGCTGTGTAGAGGTGCCATTCCCTGTTCTGGCATTTCCTGAAGGATTCAGTGGATCTGGTTACCAAGATGTTCCAGGTTCCTTATAAGAGAAATCAATTCTGCCCAAGGTGTCCATGCAAGATGGAGCCTCTATTCACGGTGCTGCTTTGACACAGACCATCCAGAGTCCATTTATCATTGTCCATCCATTTATAGACGCCTAGGCAGCATCTGTGAGACTCTGACTGAAGCTTCACATATACCTCAGAAACATGGAGACAGGAAGAACAACGCTCAGTCAGTCATCCGTCACCAAACTGTGTGCCTTGGTCAACGCTGTTTCTGAAAGGCCCATCTGTTTTCTCTCCTGTGTGGCTTTGTGGAGTTGTATGAGCACTCTCAAGTCTGATTTCCCTCAGTACATTAAATTCAAGACACTGAGAGCCGAGACCTGGAGGTCTTCATGGTGCTTGGCTCAGGCCTCTGAGGGTTCTTAGTCTGGGCTCAGGTGTGGGGGTGTCCTCAACTCCCAATGTTTGTGCCCCTCAGGCCCTCGATCCCAAGCATGGATTTCTTCTCTCAGCATGGGTTTCAGTCTACACTTTAAACAATTAAGTTCTTTCGTCTGGCCCCAGAATCTTCTTCCTCTGGACTGCTTTTTCCAAGCTGCCGATGACCCCTTTTCCGGCTCCGGCCTAACTTAGAAAGTGCCTGAAAGCAAAGGGAGAGATGGTTTAAAACCCCGAGCTCATATGGACACTTCCACTGACTCCACACTAAACCACATCTTCTTGGGTTGGCTTTGTGGTCCAGTCTCATGAGTATGATACACACTGGTCACGTTTCCCTCGTGGGCTTATGGGTAAAAAAAAAAAATATCTCTGTCTATGTTTCCTCTAAGTTAACTGTGAGGGCTGGCTTTGAGCGTGATTTGTTTCGGATAAGAAGAATCAGGAAGTGGAGCGAATCAGAAGCAAAGTGAAGATGGCAGGTGAGGAAGTGACGTCATCCAAAGCACCAGCTCCCTTTGACCCCCTGGAAACTTGGAGTGCAAAGGGTCCCTAACTCATGATGGCTTGTCTTCACAGTTTGAAAATTTTTAGGCCATGGCCACCATAACTGTCTAGGTAATGAGGAAGGCACAGCAGTTTAGATATGAAGAACTTTCAAGTCACAAAAAAGCTATATGGATTGCTCACCAGGGTTAGACTTATTTATTTAGTGTGTGTGTGTGTGTGTGTGTGTGTACATGCGAGTGCACATGAATGATTCAGGATGGGTATGCACATGCCACAGTTGTGGAGTTGCTTTTCTCTCGTTATGTGGATTCTGGGGCTTAAACTCAGGTCACCAGCTGTACACAGCAAGTTCTTTTATCTTTGAGCTCCACAGAACTTGACTTTTTAAGCATGGAGTGGTATGCAGGTTAGTTTCATCAACTTGGTACAAATTAGGCTAGCCTGGGGAAAGGGACCACCTTTTCTCAGTTAATGGTTGGTTTGGGAGGGTCTAGCCCACGGTGGGTGGAAAGCCACTGTGGGTTTCCCCTGGGCATGTGGTTCTGAGTGGTATAATAAAGCAGGCTGAGCAAGCCACAGAGAGCAAGCTGGTAGGCAGGATTTCTCCATGGTCTCTGCTTCAGTTCCTGCCTCCATGTTCCTGCCTTGAGTTCCTGCCCAGACTTCTCTTGATGACAGACTATGATGTGGGAGGTTAAGATAAATAAACCTTTTCCTCCAGAAGCTGCTTTTAGCCAGTGTTTTATCCCACAACAGAAAACAAAGTAGGGCAAATATAATGTGTAATGCTTTTGTTCACCAACTAGAAATGAAGGACCCCACAAAAAGGACAACTCTTGGAACTCAGGCCTCTCCTTCCACCTTGCCTGAGGCAGGGAGCTCTTGTTTCTGTCCCTTTGCATACACCAAGCTAGCTGCTTCTGATGATTTGAATGAGAACCGTCCCTCAGAGGCTATATATTTGAAGATTTGGTCCCCAGTGGGTGCTTCTGTTTGGGGACATTATGGAACCTTTAGGAAGTATAGCCTTATTGGAGAGAGAATGTCCCCGGGGGTGGGCTTTGAGAGTGTATAGCCTTACTCTACTTACAGCTCTCTCTGCTTTCTGTGACTGGTTGAGGTGTGATCTCTCAGCGTCATGCTGCCATGCCTACCTTACCACAGACTCACCTCTCAGCTTCATACTGCCATGCCTACCTTACCACGATGGACTCACCTCTCAGCGTCATACTGCCATGCCTACCTTACCACAGACTCACCTCTCAGCTTAATACTGCCATGCCTGCCTTACCACGATGGACTCACCTCTCAGCTTCATACTGCCATGCCTACCTTACCACAGACTCACCTCTCAGCTTCATACTGCCATGCCTGCCTTACCACGATGGACTCACCTCTCAGCTTCATACTGCCATGCCTGCCTTACCACGATGGACTCACCTCTCAGCTTCATACTGCCATGCCTACCTTACCACAGACTCATCTCTCAGCTGCATACTGCCATGCCTGCCTTACCACGATGGACTCACCTCTCAGCTTCATACTGCCATGCCTGCCTTACCACGATGGACTCAAGCCAAAATAAACTCTTTCTTCTATGAGTCATTTCTGGCTATGATGTTTTATCACAGCAAAAGAAAACTGATACACTGGACCACAAGCTTTGGAGTGATTCTCCTTTCTCGGCCCCCATCTCCCCACGAGAGCAGCAGGATTACTAATATGTGCCACTGCATTCGGCTTGTTCTTATGTGAGCTCTGGGGACCAGGTTGTTGGCATGGTGTGGAAAGTTCTTTTACCCGGTGAGCCATCTTACCAGCCTCGACGGCTCTACATTTAAACCTTTCTACCAGAAGTTTCCAGTGCCTTCTGCAGCAGGGAAACATCAAAGTCTCTTGGCAGTGATTCAGACTGGACCACACTCATCTAACATTTTGTTAGAGATCTTTAGATATTTGTGTTTCCCCCAAATTCACATGGTAAAATCCCAGCTCCCACTGTAGGGAATTAGGAAATGAAGTCTTTGAGTGGGAAGGGGTAATAAGAGGGTTCATGAAGGAGTTAGTGTCTGTTATGGTGTGGCTATAAAATGTCCTCTATCAGTGCATGTGTTTGTACAGCTAGCCACTGGCAGGTGGAGCTGTTTTAGGAAGTGGTGGAACGTCAGGGAGGTAGGGCCCTGCTGGAGCAAGTGAGTTGCTGAGGGTGGGCCCCATGGGTTACAGCCCAGCTGTGGTTCCAGATCAAGTTCTCTCTGCTCTGTGGTCTGCTAAGATGTGAACAAGCTGCTACATAGTCCTGCTGCCAGAGTTGCCCACACCACACCTTCCTGCCATGGTAGACTATGTTCTCTCCATCTGTTAGCCAAAATAAATCCTTCCTCCTTTAAGTTGCTTCATTAAAAAAAAAATTATTGGGACTGGAGAGATGGCTCAGCAGTCAAGAGCACTGGCTGCTCTTCCAGAGAACCTGGGTCCAATTTCCCAGCATCCACATGGCAGCTCGCAACTGTCTGTAACTCCAGTTCCAGGGGATCTGACACCTTATTACCAATGCACATAAAATAAAGTTAAATAAATTATTTAAAAAATATTTATTTTTGTAGTGTGTGTATATTTAGTGTGTGTGTGTGTGTGTGTGTGTGTGTGTGTGTGTGTGTGTGTGTGTGTGTAGGTACCCATAGAGGCCAGAAGAGGGCATCAGATTCCCTGGAGTGGATGACTGTGAATATGTAGCGGGAACTAAACTCCAGTCCTCTGAAAGATCAGTCAGCACCCTTAACCACAGAGCCGTCTCTCCACCCCTTAGGTTGCTTCC